TAGCATGTTTTTGCTTAATTCACTGACTTTGGAGTGTCTTCTGGAAACCAAATCCGTTTCTGGTAAGAACTTCAGCTCCTTTATCCAGCATTTTGCTGCTTTAATGGTCTACAATGAGCCTATCTTCCCAAACTATATATTTTTGTTTACCTGTTTAGCTATTTTCCCCCTATTATGCCTCAGTGCAGCTTTACTATAAAATCTGATTGACTGGATAACCCCCAGGTACCTTTAGAACTCAGAACTTGGAAAACTCATTTGATTTAGACCACAGGCATTTCTTTGTCCAGCTTCTATGTGAAGAGAGGATTTTCATGGCTTAATGTTGGTGTAAGTTGCACATTGGATGCAAAATACGTGTGGCAAGTCCTAGAGGCAGAAAGTATGAATATAAAGGATGGAACTGCAGAAAAGTGGTAGCAGTGGTGGAGGGAAGGGTCATTTTGTCGTCATTATTGTTCTCATGATAATAAGGTCCGAGTAGAGTTTTATTCTATCTGATAAATCCATATGATTAGCGAGACTGCATTAGATACCTGCCTTATCCACTGACTGACAAAACATGGGAGTAAATGGAAATTACTGATTTATTTTTCAAAGAACAACGTAGAAAAGGGAAGATTTGCATTGTCACATCACTGAATATCTTTAGTTTTCACTGAGGTCTCTATCCAGCTTCCCTTGTACTTTGTCAACTTTCATGTTATTTTACAAGAAGTGTTTTAGCAAAACATTTTTCACTAACCTGGTATTTTAAAGTACATTGCGAACTATCAGCAGATGTAATAAATACTTGTGTTTAAGACTTTATAATATATATCTGCTTTACCTCACTATCTGTGAAAAAAGCCATCCAGTTTTAGGAAAGTTTTCTTTAGCTGCAGTGCGTTATAATTACTGACTGAAGGAAGAATCAAATTGCATCATTAAAGAGTATGCCCAAATGGGCAACAAATGCCATCATTTATTACATTTTTCTTGGGATAGAGTCCTCTCAGAACAAAGGAAAAAGTAATAAATTAGAAGCACTAAATGAAAATTAAGAATTAGAGCTGGTTGGAGCTGAATCTATGCAGTGAGATTATTTACTTTTTTGCTTGTTTGCCTTATGTAAAGAACTAACGTGTTTAGCTGTTTTCTCAGTAATGAAATACTAATTCTCTTGTTCTAGTTTTTCAGGAATGGAGCACTTGCCGCCTGATTTGTATCTTGATTTATTTGTTTCAAAAGCCCATCAGAGTAGTATCTGCACTAGGAGGGATAGCTAACTTAGTTATGCCCTACAGCCACTGTCTTCCTGGCAGGCTGTTTGGACACCAGGCAAGTACAACAGGATGCTTGTACAATCAGCCTTCTGGTAATCCAGCGTAATGAAAGACTTTAAAATCTCAGAAAATACAACCCCCCTGACATTACATGAACTAGGGGATGTGCTGGCATGGAATACATTAGAGTCACCTTGTGACACAAGATCAGCTTGGATCTATAAAGTAGGGAGTAAAGAAGAGGGAGCCAGGCTCTTTTCAGTGGTGCCCAGTTGGCAGGACCAGTGTGAGCACACACTGAAACACAGCTAAACATCAGGAAACACTTTCTCATTGTGAGGGTGACAGAGCACTGGCACAGGTTGCCCAGAGAGGATGGAGAGGTGTGGGAACATTCAGAAGCTCTAGGGGAACCAGCTCTAGGGGGGTTGGACCAGACGACCTCCAGAGACCCCTTCCAACTTCAGCTGTTCTGTGATTTATTTCCATGTTGGTCTTGAAGGTCCTTAAGGTATTACAGCACCAGGAAGTGGGAGGTCATACGGCCCAGCTGCAACCTTATATCTCAGCTGGCTCTGAGAACTATCCACATATGTTCGCGTGTCTTAGCTAGTAGGGCTGGATGAGTTACAGTGATTATGCGAGAATCAGGCTGCTACACACGGAGTTATATCAGATTTCTTAAACTCTGGCATAGTTAATTGGTAACCTAGACAAATCACTCATTGATAATTTAGTTTACAGTATTTCTAGATTGTTTCTGTAATCTAGATGAATCTCTTTTGTGAGTTAAATGGAATTTAAGAACTCAGTAGTTTCTAAAGCCTGACCTATATTTTGTTAGTAGTACAGTTCCTTCCGTTAACATGTCATTATTGTTTACTTTGCTGCTGTGATTTTACCATTCTAAGCAGCATCCCAACACCACTAAATAATTAAACTTTATTATTCTGTTGCAAGTATGTTCAGAAACTGATTTTTGGAATTAGACAATGTGATTATTCTTTCTAGTAAAGTTTTTCAGTGTTTTAATGATTCAGATTGCCATCTCTATTGCAGTCTGGGATGTTAACTATCCATGTAGAATTATGCCAAATTAAGATGACTTTATGAAAAGTATGAAAGGAATGGACATGAGTTACTTTATATTATACAAAACTGTATTTGTGATATGATTTCTTTTTCATTGTAGTATCTTACACACAAAAATAAATGTTTGCTTGAGAAGAATCCAAAAGGTACTTTGCTGGGTGTCAGCTTCTATCCAGTAGATAGTTTCTTCCAGTTAAAAAAGAAATATAACGGAAGAAAGGAATGGAAGAAGCTTATGCTGTAGAATGCCAGTTTATTGCATAGTAGGCAATCTATTAAATATGTTACTGTAAATCAATTTATTATACACTTGCTTTTATGTAGTAACAATGCTTTAAGTAATGAATTATGTTTATTAATTCTTATAAACTAGTACTTTCTAAGCATATTTTTAAGGAAGAAGTAAACCATAAAAGAATTGCTACTCTCTGTCTTACCTCTCCTTTAGAACAAAAATTAAAGCAATTGCTAGAACTTATTTCAGAGCTTTCATCTAGGAGACATAATGAAAAACACTTGACAAATAACTTAAAATGATTATATCTTTCAAAATGTCTGTCACAAAATGACATATACTTAATTTTTTAAAAAAAATTTTAACTGTTTATGCTGTGTTAGGCTTCATCCCTGAGGGTTCTTCTGTCATTTTCTGACTGCACAAACATTTGAGCAACAGAGAGTTGGGAATTGGTAGATACGGTGAAAAATCTGCTCTTGGTGCCAGTGCAGGTCTATGTCGGCACAGGTGAACTATGACACTCTTACCCAAATCCCAAAGGATGTTAAGCATTAGGCAATCCTACATAAAGTAGATCTTTTGTTAAGATAGATTTGTAGATCTGTATCCTTCTGTTAGCCAAACTAAGGACTGATTGTTAGCAGCACTTTGAAAGCCTGTTGTTTGCTTCAGTTATCATGTGACCTTAAAGAGCTAAACTTCAAGTCGGGATGTTCATAAGGTTCCTGCCCCGCAAGCTGAGCAAGTGCTTAACCAGCTGAGGTGCCAGGAGGGTCACAAATTTCTCTAGGGACCTGAGGCAGCTGTTTTGTTAAGTCCTGTCTAGCAGAATGGATAAGCAGAGCCTGTGTCCTGAGGGAATATCAACCAGCCAAAGGAATTAACAGCAGAAGATCTAAAAGTCCGTAGACCCTAGCCAGTCGTCATTCTAGTGGAGTAGTCAGGCAATTTTTCCATGCTGGAAAGCTTTAAGTAGAGCCCTGTTGAAGATGAAGCAGTTTAGGTGATGCTATTACTACCTGGAATCGTCCAAGTTTGTTATTTTGTGTCTTGTAAAGTATCAGTCCTTTTTCCTTTTGATTTTGTATCTCAATTCAGCTGCTTGCATATAGCTTCACCTGCATTTGAAAAAAATAGTTTTGCATTAAAAGCTTCCGTGTCATACAGATTACATAGTGATGATCAGGTTATCTTTCCTTTTCTCTTTCCTCCATGTGTTCTCAAGAGAAAAAATAAATAAGAAAAAAAAAAACAAAAACAAAAACAAACCCAAACAAGACAAACCAACAGAAAAAAGCACCTAAACACTGGGATATTTTACTGATCTGGTGCTTTGCTCCATGCTTTGATGTTTTCATGCTGTTTTATTGGTTCTGCTGTTCCAGGGACCATACAAACCCCTTAGAGAACATTGACAGTAAAATTTACAGTCTTTGGACTATTTTCAATCCTTGTTTAAATTAGGATTTGATTCCTTTTTTAGTTGAGGAAGCAGAAGCCAAGCCAGGGAACTGGAAATACATTTCTGGATTAATTTTGATTTGGAAACAGATAGAAGTGGGACTTTGGTGGTCTAAGAACAAACTCCAGTTCCTTTTTTAGGAGGGCTGTAGCTTCTGGGCCAATGTCTTACAGAAGACAGGCTTCTCTTAAAACTTTGCACAGATGTAAGGAAAGGACTTCTCTTCTTTGTCTGGCCAAATGTAGCCATGGTATGGATTTTATCTTGCTGATTTCAATTTCTCTGGCTTTGTTTCACGCGTTCAGTTTTGTTATATCTTTGGATTTTATTATATTCTTGCTAAATGCTACCCTGTGAATGTACTTAAATCCTGTAATTAATCTTCATCTGATAGAATTAAGTCAAAGAATTCTTTGTATCTCTTGCTATTGGGTATTTTTCCAGGTCTTCATTTGTATTTGTGATTGTTCTTTTATCCAATTTGCCTGTGTATAGTGATGGTATGTTTACAGTTAAATATTAATCATTGTATTTAATTCATGGCTTTTTTAGAATTCAAGTGTGTGTGTGTGTGCGTGCATGCATGTATATGTCATAATACCCTATCAGCTCTACATTGATCTGCAAAGCCAAGCAAAACTAGAGTTTCCTCTTGTTATCTCAGTGTGACATATCTTCCCCTCATTTTCCCCTCTCAGCATGGAAGGCCTCTTTGCTTTATCCTCAGCTTTTAGAAGCACCATGGAAAATCTGGTCATGTGGTCTTAGAAAATAATGCTAATTACTGTGTTTGGGTTTTTTTTTCCATCACCATTGTAAAAGGTCTTTTATTTGAGAGGCTACATCTGCATTCTGGACCTGGTGGTGTATGAAATACACTATGCTGAAGACAGTACATTGTTTTCTGACTCTAATGAAATGTACTTTTTTTTTATTTTTACAGAGTACCAAGCTGCCATTTTACATTTAAAGAGGGAACACAAAGACGAAATTGAAACATTAAAGGTATACTTTTGTGATAATTTTTTTTTTTCCCTGACTCTAGTGTATTTTACAGATTTCTGTAGTGCAAACATACTTTCCATCACACGCTAAGAATGTAATTGTTTCTTTCTAAAAGTTTTCAGTTGACTGATATCTCAGTTAAAATTATTTTAGTTAGAATCCATAATGCACTCATATATGATGTCAAAAAGCAAAGTTTTACATAATTTCCCTTTGTAGTTTTGCTTATTGTTGTACTGATAAATTTTTCCCTCTAACTCAGCACTGCAGTACTTTTATATTTCCTTGTCATAGTAAGACACTGGCATTTAACTGCTCTTTCTCAGTGAAACATGCTTCTGTAGAAGAATTTTTCTGTAATTTTAGACTGAAAAATAAGCATGGTAATTCCATTTGTGAGACTCTGAAGTTTTGTATTGAACACTACCGATGTCTGGTTTTGTAAGTGTAAACTTGACCAACTGTCTAAAATCAGAAATAACAAAGTTTAATGTTAGAACTCACTTTCCCTCAGCATGATTGACTCTGCTAAGCAAAGTGAAATATTACTAAGAAGCGTTTGTCTCATAAAAGCAGGAACTTAAATGGCAGTATAACTTAAAGTGAATTTGTTGAGCTGTCCTAGATTAAAGAAAAATTTACAGCATCTTGCTTTTCTCCCCAGTTGTAATATATTCTTAAGCATAGCTGCACTGTCTTCTAATACATGTCCATATGCTAAATCCTTAGTGTACAAGTCATCAAGTACAAAACATTCTGTATTTTGTTGTAATTAAGGCAAATAGAATGGAAAAAAAACAAATTTACTAACAAAGGAAGTCTGATAATCCAGTTTATTGCTTCATTGACCATGTCATTAGGCAGATCACATATAGCAGTCATCAGACTAGTACAAGTACAGTATTTGTATTACACAGAGTATTTATGTCTTTGTATCTGCACAAAGGCCAGCCCATAATGAGTGTAAAACCTATGAAGTTGAGAAGACTCGATGAGGTCTTTGAGTAGACAGGGGTGGAATGATGGTAGTGGATAGTGGAGTGGACAGGACAGGCAGAGTCCCTATTGTGTGCAGCATCTCTTAAAATTCAGCATAGGGAAATGCAGGTTAGCACTAAAGTAAAGACAACAGTAATGCACAATAAATATTGTTAATAATAATTCTTAAAAAGAATAGCATAATTCTCTCACACAAGAACAGTAGATAGACGCAAGGGGGATTTATTTGTTTTGAGAGGGTATTTCAGAGAATACATAGTGTTGGTGAGAGAGAAAAATGTGCTTGTGCATCTTCAGCAGCCCTGGAAACAGTAGAGGCAGAGGAGACAGGTGTACTGGCAGGCATCCGTGGAAAATCACACATCCCTCCATCCTTCATTAAAAGAAAGTTCATCTTGGCACATTTTATTTTCCATGAGAGTACATCTGAAAGACACTGGAGGAGAAGTAGATTCATTTATTTGCTGCTCACAACTTTGTATGATATAAACATTCTCTTTTAAATCAGATTATTATTATTTTTTATCTGAATTACTTGAGTTTTTCCCAAATATCATCATGTCTTAATGATTAATTATGTTTTTATGTTATCTTGTTTAGTAGTAAGGAAATTGTGAGTAGGCTGTTTCCAGAAAAGTGAAATTGTGACGTAAATTTCAGCACCATAAAATCTCACCATTTTATATATCTACGTAAATATAATTAGAAATGAGCTAAAATGCAAATATTTGCTCTCCATGATTAGTAGAAGACTTATGCACTCTTGGCAGCAATGTCATATGCATCATGTTTCCTTACGTTGCATGCATTTGACAATTTTCATGTTTGGTACTGTTTTGTCTTATACTATGTAGTTTCAAACACCAACCAGAAAAGGTGATATGAATGTTTTGTAGGCGTTTTAGGTAACAACAGTGAAGTGTAAGGTCTATGTCATGATAATCGGAAAAATAATGCTTAGGTTTATTGTATGCAAGATGTAATTCAAACAAGATTTTTGTGTGTCCATTTTGGAGTCAAACTCGTAAGTTACTGGAAACCTTTCACAGAGTTCTGCTTGTAAGTTTGTATGTCTGATGGTTCCTGAGATATAATGTGATTTTTCATTTTACAATATTGAAGGATGTAAAAACTTCCTTTACCAAAGGCCAGTTGAAGCAAATATCCTCTCTCTAGTAGTGGGTGCTTAGAAAACACGTATAAGAAATACAGAGTGTAAGGGTAATGCTTTCTTCCTGTATAGTGCTTTTTGTTTTGGTTTGGGTTTTTTTTGGCAAGTCAGGCTGTCTTCATGGTCTCTTCCTTATTGCTTCTACTGCCACTGCCTCCGTGCCCCTTCCTTAACAGAGTGCTGCTTGATTTTTGGACCTCATCCCAGCCTGGTGTAAGGCATCAGGTTCATGAAAGATGCATAGTGACTAAATTACTGAGAAATGTTGCCCTAGTATACCATTTCCAGCAATTAGTGTTTTAAGCGTTTCCTGAAACAGTCTGAACACAGGTTATGGTATATAGTACTGATGAATAAATTATAGTATTGCATGCTTCCATGACTTCTGAATACTATGCCATCTGACTAGTGTTTCTGTTTCTTTTCTATATGTCCTTGATAATTCATTCTTTTTACTAGAATGTGACCCATTACAGATGCATCCTTTTTGTTTGTACAGTTGATTTGGAGGTGTTTATTTCCCTGAAATATGTAGAATGCCATGTGATAATTCCTATATAGTGCCAGATTTATAATCTAAAAGCATGTGGGCTGAAAATATTGAATTCCTATTTTCTTAATATGTCCTGTGTCCAAAGGAGGTCAGCTCTAAGTTATTAATTTTTTTAAGAGAATGTCAAGTTTTACTGCAGCATATTATTTTTTATAGTGGGTGAGATCTGAGAGCCAAATGCTGCTGCATGCTCCTCCTGCTTTGGTAAATCATGAATTGTTAGTTCTGCTTCTAAGTTTTAGTAGTTTTCTAAATGAAAGTGTATCATTTCAAGCTACCCCCTCCCCTTTTTATAGCCTGTCTGCTTTAAGAGGTTCTTTCTCTTGTGTCTGTGATGTTCAAACATTTTAAAGAACAATTTTTTTTTCTCCACATCTCTGTTGCTAGCCTTCATTATTTTGTCTTTAATTTCAGAGGAATTTTTCCTGTTTTTTGTGATACATTTAAAAATTATTGCTTTTCCCTGAAATCACTTCAGTCTGTAATATTTAAATATAACAGCAAAGGAACATGATTTTTGTTCATTCTTTATGTTACCAGCATTTGCACTGGGAAAAATGGAATGCATTAGAGAAGGCCAGACATTGTTTCTATACTCTCTTTCTTCTGGCTTTTCATTATTTGAAGGAAGGGAAAAATGTATTTTAAGATAAAAAAATATGTATTACTACATACTGCTGTACATATGGAACTTTACATTATAAAATTTCATATGGGAACATGTGAGGAAATAAAATTGTGTTCTGATATAATGTAATAATTTGTTGCATTTAATTATTTAAGGGTATAACAGAAAATTGTGGTGGTAGATATCCCAGCTATTGGAAATATTTGGGTTTAATGTGATTTTGTACTATACACTGAAGGATCTTACAAACAGAAATTTCTCTGAACCCGCTCTTTTGCAAACTGATCCAAATCTCGTATCTTGTATTTATGAGGGAGGTTGATATCATACCTCCTCTGTAAAAGATTAGGAGTGAGACCCTTAATCTTAATGCCTTAACCCTTAATCCTAAAATGCCTAGAAATATCTAAGGAGCCCTGGAAGATATGTGTAGGGGAAAGTTCTCAAAAAATTATTAAACTGTACTCTGAAGGTGAAAGCAAGCAGTTATCCAGAATCTGTCCCTTAAAATCTGGATATAGCGGCTTATAAATGAGAGATCTGATTACTCTTTAGCAAAAGAAAATGTCCTATACTTCTGTACTGTTTCTTTTGGAAGTTATTTTTTTCCTTGACTATGTGAATGAAATTCCTAATGGGTTTTTATTCTGTTGGAGTTGCTGTTGCAGTGTTTATTTCCTATAAACTTCATATGGAATACCCAGAGTACAGACAGAGCTTTAGCCATACCACCAGTTTGAAAGGGTTGGTGCTGATTCGGTAGACCGTTGAAGTTGCAGCAAATGTAGTGGTCTTGAAGGATGTAAAACAGTCACTGACAGGGAGGGTGAATGACAGTATTGTGTTTATTTTATGTTGCCATCTTTATGTTATTGCAGTATCTTGAAGCTTTGTTCCTTTTTCTAATGTCACCTGAAATCAATTCATGTAGTGTGCATACTAATTAAATTGACATTTATTGCACCAAGTAAATTATTGATGAATCTGTACCATATCATATTGCATAATCAGAATAACTCATAACATCTCTTAATGGGTTCACTAATCTACCTAATTCCACTGAGTCATCCACATTAAGATAATCTTTAGAAAGGGTAATATAGTAGAAATAAATGCTTAGTTTTTACCCACTTAGTTTTAACTACACTTACTAGTTGTTGTGTTCAAAACATTTACCGATTTTCTCACCTATTATTTACAAAAAATTGAACAGTATATTTTTAAGACATTGTATTATTTCTGTTCTCTATTGTTGATTTTTTTTTACTTTTCCTGCTCTTGCCACTAGATGTCAGCTAAGTCTTTCAGAAGAAGCTCCCAAAGCATGTCACAACTTCTCTGTATGTGTGCAAATTTCATACTTACTTCTAAACTATGAGAGTATGTGTGGTGGTAACATCCTGCCCACTGTTTGTGGATCTGTCACAGTCTTAGTTTTAGGACAAAAGTTAGCTTGCATATTATGGAACTAGAATCAAAGTTGTTCAGTAGTAGCTGTCATCACTTTCATAGTATTTTCCCTACAGAGCCAAGCCTACAGTATCTAATAACCAACTAAGTAGATGACAGTGACTTTAACATTAAATCAAAATACTGTAAATGACCTACTGACTTCTGAAAAGAAGGAATTAACTTGAAGGCAATATTCT